AATGAGGCTGGGAGGCCGGGAGAGAAACCATGGAATGCATAAAATATTTACTGAGGGCCGCTGAGAGATGGTCTGTCCAAACCGGTTCCACTCCCTGAAGGGCCAGGCCACACTAAAGCTGCTGCAGGCCTCACCCCTCTATACCAACACAGTGCACCTAACATTCTGCAAGGGTGGGAACATCCTCTACCCTCACTGGTCAATTTCCTATAGCCACTAGCAACATGTGACAGTTGAGAACTTGAAACCTGGCTAGTGCAAATAAAGGACTAAATTAGCATTTTAATTAATTGTGATTAAGAGGCCACAAATGCAGGTAAGGAGCATTTCCATCACTGTAGAAAGTTTTATTGGATAAGGTAGTTCTGGACAGACGGCCATGGAGCCACAGAAGCTAGAGACACCAGCCTGCAGACCAGAGCAGCTGTGCCATCCTCCTGCAGACCCTGATCTCCCCACACCCTGGGATGGCTGTACTGAGACACTGCCCACCCAACAGGTGTGGACTCACTCCAGGAATGGGATACTGGAGGTTCCCCAGGTGTCACCTCCCTACTCCAAACTCAGATCTAGCCACACCACCATGACCTAGGTGCTCTGACAAGCCACACATAGGCTCTGTGTCCCTGCCTCAGTCTCACATGCATACATGTACACATGCCCCACTCTGGCTGCCCAGGTGTCAGGATCACACATGTACACACCTCACACCTCATTCAGCCTCCCCTAACCCCACATGCAAAGGTGGCCTCTCTTCCTTCCAGCTCAGGGACAGTCCCTTGGCATCCAGGAGGGAGGCTGTGATCTCTCCTGTGCACCCCAAGATCTGGTATTGAGGACTGAAGGCAGGCGTGTCTGCCCAACATAGGACCCTCCTCCCTCCTCCCTTCTCTCTCCTCCCCCCTGCTCAGACTGACCGTTGAGACTGGATGCCTCACCAATGCTTCGTCACAAAAGGCTGGAGCTGGGGACTGGTCAGGCACTGCCAGCTGCTGGGAGTGGGACCAGGGTGGGGTCGAGGGAGAGGGAAGCAGCACTGGAGCCTGGAGGGGAGGGGCCCTGCTGCAAGAGACCTCTCTCCCTTCAGTCTCTGCCAGGGACTTAACCTCCTCAACCCACAGTTCCCACATGACACTTTCTGGACATGGCCTTTTCACAATATAACACCATCCCCCAGCAGAATTTTCCAGATTCTTAGAGGGAAAAATCTCTTCCTTCAGTTTTTACCTTCAGTGGAGTCACTGCGCCCCCATCTGGCATCTCCAGCTCAGAACTTGACCCACTTGACTTCATCCATTCTTTTCTGTTGTTGGTTTTTGGGTTTTGGGGGGTTTTTTTTTTGTTTTTTTTTGTTGTTGTTGTTGTTTTTTCCAATTTTGAGACTGTCTTGCTAAGTTACCCAGGCTGGCATGGAATTCACTGTCTAACTTGACTGACTTGGAACTTGCACTCCTCCTGCCTCAGCCTCCCCAGTATTGCAATTTCAGGACTCAGCTATCACAGCAGCTTCATTAGTTCCTATGTCTCATCCCTTTACTTAGACTAGGTGACCCTTTACTTACACTTAGTGCCTGGAACCAAGTATTCAAAGGTATCCAGTGACTGTCCTCACAGAGTTCCTGGTCTGGTATGGGAGGCAGGACTGAGAAATTACAATTACAGTGCCATATAAAAAGATCAATCAACTCCCACTCTCCTCTTCCTGAGCTAGGACAGAAAATAACCAAGGAAGGCTTCAAGGAGGAGGTGATATCTAAACTGAAAGACAAACAAGGGGTTCAACATGTGAAGACAGGAAATCAAAGAATCCAGGAGAGAAAGCACAGCTTGTAAAAGGTGCTGAGATGAGATGATAGGTAGTGGGCATTTAGAAGTTACCAGTGAATAAGGCTGGTCAGATCACAGGACCCTAAAACAAGGAGGGGTGGGACAAGCAGGCAGGGACTAAAGCAATCAAGGAATAAGGGGGAAAGACTTAACTTTGAAGGCAATGGAGGTTTTATATCAAGGTTGAAAACATGCATTTTAGGAAGATCTCTGGTACAGTGGAAGAAAGGAACTGGCACCTTCCTGCAGGTAGAACATGGCTGAGGACAGGGAGAAGGGACAGATGGAAGAGGGCCCAGGATAGGACACTAAGATGCAGAACAGGTGGATTGGACAAGAGAGGGTGGGTCACAAGGTACTTCCTGCATCCCTGGCTGGCCTAGCCTCGTGTGGAGGCCACCCTACCAGTCCTCCTGGAGAGCCCATGGAAAGATGCAGCATGCCTCCAGCAAGCAACCTCTGCCCTGGATCTCCCCTATCACCAGACCTGGGCAGGAGGCAGACAGGAAGTACAGCACAGGATCCTGGCCACCCTCCTGGCTTCCTGCCTAACCCAGCCCCAGGGAGACAGGCAGGCTGCCCTGACAAGCCCTCATTGCCCAACCTGAGACCCCTGAGCATGTCTCCCACATGCCTGCTGTCCACAACTCCAGCAACCAAAAAGACAGACTGTGCCAGAACACAGTGGAATAAATTACTGCCAGGCTTGTACAGCTGATAGGCACCATTTATAGGCCCCACCACCAAAGACTCAGGAGGCAGGCAGGGGGCTGAGCTGACAACGCAGACTGAGAGAGGGGACTACCACTTCCCTTTTGTCCAGGGCTTCTGAATCAGACTCTGATAGTAAAGCTACACAGGATGCCATGAACTTAAAAGTGAAGTGACTTGCCCTAGATCACATACCAGCACAAGCAGCAGAGGCAGAATTTGAACCCTAGTCCCCCTGGCTTCAAATTACAGTCTCGGGAGCTTTGCCACAAGCCTGCAACACATTTTTTATTCCCTGGTCTTCCCAGATAGAGGGCTTTACATTCTACCAAGTATCACACTCCATCAGCAAGGCCCAGAAGCAGATAGGAAGACTAAGGTTCAAGAATACTAATGACCTATATATACCAGGCTTCCCTCCAAACCTTGATTCTTGACAGTCCTCAGCAGTGGGCAATTGGGACACATGTGTTCTCAAATCAGGTTGATGGGGTGGGGGTAGTGTTTGATCTCTGGGTGGGGGAAGGTCAGAGGAGTTTGGAGAGGATGAAAAGACAGGTTGCCTGAGCCACCCTCTGGGGAACCAGGTCAAAACAAACTGAGCACGAAACTCCAAAGCTGCAGGGCAAGGCCCCAACGCCAAAACAGCTGCTGGGGTGACCCAGAGCCTGGGCGAGCTCCACCCGCCCCAGACTCCCAGGAGGGGGCGGTGCCAAGAACTGGATCCCCGCGAGGCCCGGTGTCTAGGGCAGGCAGCCAGAAGGAGTCTCTCCCCCGGCTCGAGGCGGCCGGTGCGTGTCTCGGCTCCGATCCCACCCCGGGCGGCTCCGGATTACCCCTCGCCGGGTTGTGGGGACCAGGGGAGGCGGAAGGCTGGCGCAACCCAGTTGGAGGGGCGAAGGCCTGGGGTCCAGGCCTCAGGAGGGACTGCGGGGCACGCGCATACACAAGCACGCCGCGACACATCGTCTACACAGTACCCGCTGCGATGCGCTCACGGACGCACAGGCATTGGCTCGGGGTGCACACATTCAGATCTCTCTCTCTCTCTCTCTCTCTCTCTCTCTCTCTCTCTGCTTTTTTAGGACAGGGTCTCACTCTGTAAACTAGGCTGCCTGAAATTCACTATATAGCACCCACTGGCCTCAAACTCATGACAGTCCTGCGACTCGGAAACACCCTGAGCGCACGATCGCACCGCAGGCCAAGCGGGAGCCCCACGCACATAAACTCACACACACGTCCGCACATGCGGGCCCCGCCGGCGGAGAGGCCGCGCAAAGTTGCAAAGCAGACAGAGGGAGCGTCCCCAGGGACCCCGGAGTCCTCCGCGCCTCCTGCGCGCCACGGTGGGGGCGCCGTCCCGAGGCCACCGGCCAGGCCCTGCTGGGACCCCGACGCCGCAGTCCCACCCGGGTCCCCACGGCCGGGTCTCCGCGGGTCTCCCTGCCCGCCCGCCCTCCCTCCCTCCCCCGGGCTGCCAGGCGCCGCCAGGGATCCGCTGCCCGCTAGTGCCGCACGGAACTTGCGAAAACAACAGACCGCCCGACATATCGGAGTCGGCGGGGCCGCGCTCCCTTGCTCGGTCCCTAGTCAGCGGCAGGCCCAGTCTCGGAGGGGCACCGCCGCGACTTGTTCCGACCCCTCGCGCACACGGGCGCGCGATTACACACACACACACACACACACACACACACACACACAAGCACCCTCGGCTCCCGGGCACACTCGGCCACGGCCCAGGAGCGCCCCACGCTCGCTCGCAGATCCTGGCCACGCAGCCAGCGCGCACCGACACACTCACACATCCACATCCACTCCAGACACGCTCCCCCCTCCCCCCGCATCCTCCGCACTCCTAGCTTTCACTCGGACCCACACAACACCGCACACCCCAGACACTCCCACAGGGGACACACGGTGCACACGGCGCACGGCCACACATCACACATTGCGTTCCCGGGTCCACAGAGCACTCGCTAGCACAAGCGTAAAACAAACACACGACCCATTCGTCAAATGCAGGAGAAACCGCAGTCCCGGCTCGGGAAACACAGAAATGCGAACAAAATGCAACACATTAGCAGATGCAACTCCAGACACGCCACCAAAACTCAGAGGCACACGCCGCAGACACACAACCCACTTGGCCGCACGAACGCTACCCACCGGCAGACGCTGGCCGTTCGTACATCCGACGCCCGGATGCGGGCGACATCCACGCCTGCACACTCGCACACACGGAGACACGCGACCTCTTTGCACACACAACTACGGGCACACAACCTTCACGGTCACACGACACCCGCGAGCGCTCGCTCGGCCGAGCATCCCGCACTCCGACACGCACCGGGAGCCAGCTCGCATCGTGCGTGGAGCCAGCGCGCACACTTTCTTCGGAGCTGCGCCACGGCCCCGGGGGGTTTGCGGGCTGAGCTCCGTGGGACTGCCACGCGCTTTACCTGCCGGAGTCTCGGTCTCGGGTGCGCAGAGCTGGAAGGTGAGCGCTAGGACTAGAGCCTGGGCGCGGGCCATGGCTGGGGCGTTGCTGGCGCCGGGGCTCCCGGGCCGGGCCACCCGGGAAGCGACGCCGCCGGAGCCCGAGCCCGAGGCGAGCTGGAGCCGGAGCGGAGCTGCGCGGAGCGGAGTGGGACTGGCGCCGAGTCCAGAGCGGGAGCCCGAGCGAGCGGGGCGCTGACGTCAGGCCCCCCGGGCGCCAGTTCCGCGGTCTCAAGGCGTCCCCTGCCGGCGGTGGCGCGCGCTGCTGCCGGGGTCCCCTGGCCTGCTGGCCCCGGCGCCCCTCCCCCATGCCCGCACCCCAGAGAAGACCCACTGGCGGATGCACACACCTACACCAACGTTCTCGGGCGAGCGCACTTGTTGCCCACAGCTGGGACAGTGACCCAGGGACACCCGCGTCTCTGTCTCATTGGTTGCTAGAGTTCTTCCTCCCTTGGCCACTCCGAATTATACATTCATGCCTACCTCTGATGACAGAGCACTCACTACCTAGCAAGAGCCTTCTTGGGCCTTTGGAAACGCTGATTTTTAGAGAGCTGTTCCTTCCGGTACCATGAAATCCTCCTTCCTTACCAACCCTCCTGTCTCCTACTGGATGTAGCCTCTGGCTACACGGGGTAAGTAGATCTGGGCCTCTGGCCAGTACAAGCTCTTGCACAACAGCCTGCAAACTAGTTGTCCATGACTACATAAGACCAGGCACCATGTACGTGCTTTCCACATTTGGACTCGTTCATCTTCAACCATAACCCTAGGAGGCATAGACCACTGAGATTCCATCACACCGTTGAGGAAATTGAGATACAAAGCTTGACTTTTCCAAGATCGTGCATCAGTATGAGGCAACACCAAGATTTGAATCAAGGTTGTCTGGCTTGAACTGAAGAGCAGCTGAGGCCTATCTGGCATCCAGAAGCCCATTCATTTTCCAAAAACTGACCACATGCAAGTTCATTGGTTCAAAGATTACCCTAGGCCATGGTGGAGATGTAAAACAAAACAAAAAAATTTTTTTTTAATTTCTGGGGGCTTGAGAGATGGCTCGGTAGCTAAAAGCTAGACCTAGTGCTCTTGCAGATGACTCAAGTTGGGTTCCCAGCACCCACCACAGGCAGCTCACAATTGCCTGTAACATCTGCTCCAGGGGATCTGACGCCCTCTTCTGGCCTCCATGGGCACTGCACTCACATAAGCACACAGACACACATAATTAAAAATAAATATATTTTTTTAACTCAATCCACATGGAGCTTATGTTAAGGAAAAAACAAGAACAAACAAGAAGTAAATTCTCTGGCATCTATCTCTTCACTGTCTCATATCCCAGAGAATTTAGAGGAACCAACGAGGGTGGGGAGGGAGAGGGACTGCAGCAGTTCTAAACAGACAACCTGCTATTTGATAGATTTGGTATTTATCCCCCATCTTTATGCAAGCTTTGTACTATATCCCAGAGCCTGGTATCTGGCATGCTCAATAAATGATAAATGGATGGATAACTGATGAATTAGTGAACATAAACATGGTCCTTGCCTTCGTGAAGCCTTCATGAAGTTTACATTCCACTGGGGGAGGCCAGCAGCAAATGTAAATAAATATAGTATTGAGATCTGAGGCATGTACTCTCAAGAAAATGGATGAAGTGTTGTAATAAGGAATAGTGGGGGAGGCGTTCCCCTACTTTAGATAAGAAGGTTCCAGAGGGCTTTGCTAAGGAAGTGACATGGTACCACATGAGGGGAGGCTGAATTACAAGAAGTCAGCCTCATGCAGATCAATGGGGAGAAATGCTGCAGTCAGAGGAGACAGCCTGGCCAAAGATAGGCTGGTGAGTCTGAGGAGACCAGGGAGGTTGGAATAAAGTAGATGGGGAGAAGAGGGGAGGCAGGTACAGCTGGAGAGGTTGCCACAGCTTGCAGGCCTGAGCAAGAGAGGCTTTTGGTTAAACCCTAAGAAAAGGCAATCCACTGAAGCACTAACCAGCAGAGTCCAAGTTCTGATCTCTGATTCTGTTAGTCCTCCCAGTAGCTAAGGGGCAGAGACACTGAACAGAACCTATATAAAAACCCTCTTTGTGAGCCAGGTGTGGTGGCGCACACCTTTAATCCCAGTACTGGGGAGGCAGAGGCAGGCAGATCTCTGTGAGTTTGAGGCCAGCCTGGTCTCCATAGTGAATCCGGGCCAGCTGCGGCTACAGGAGACCCTGTCTCAAAAAAAACAAAAACAAAACAAAAACAAAAACCCTCCTTGTGGACTGGAGAGATGACTCAGCAGTTAAAAGTACTGGCTACTCTTGCAGAAGACCCAGGTTCAAATCCCAGCACCCACATGGCAGCTAATAACATAACTCCAGTTTTGGGATATCCGAACACCCTCTTTTGTCCTCCCAGGGCACTGCACAGCAGAGGTGTACTTACATACATGCATAACACTCATACACATAAATTAAAAATAAAAGAAACAAACAAACAAAAAAAACCCCCTCATTTCCTGTCTCTTCTTCCAGCTGGTTCACACGGAGGCTGGCACACCCAGAAGCTACCCTAAGGTTGGAGAGGTCAGAACTGAGCTTCCCCAGGCTCACTAGCTCTTTTCTTATGAAAATTGCTCAACTCCAGGTCAAAATTGGGAAAGGGCCAAAGACACAAAGTGAGCCAGGACCAGAGCATTAAATCAAGAGTTACATGGAGACAGAGGCAAAGGAAGGAAAATGTGATGGGCAAGAAACAAAGACAGATTCTGCAACAGAGAAGAAAAAGGACAAAAAACTGGTAAACAGAAAGAATAAGCAACCAAGGATGCTGTTTACAGAGACCTCAAGAGACAACCTGTGAGAGTAATTCACTGATGATCTCAAGTTTTTTGAGTATGGAAACTGAGACTCAGTGAGCATAAGGCATTTGCCCAAGGTCACACAGTCAGTACATGGTAGTATCAGGACTCGAACCCAAATCTGACTCATTGCTCTTTGTACAGGAGGAGGCCCCAGAAACTATGGTAGAGGTGCCAGCACTAGCAACAGGTAGGCAGATGAAGAGAGCATGCTTCCTTACTTCAAAAAGGCCACAAACTTCTATAATCCTTCAGAGAGGAAGACAAGCCCTGGCCTGGGGTGACCGGCAAATCTAGGGAAGATACAACACCAGAAAGGATGCCAGGTCAGGAAGAAACTCAATTACCTGCAACTCATGGAATATTTATGATACATATCCTGTGCCAGGCCCCATATTGAGTGCTGGTGTCATGGAAATGAACCAAAGAAGGCCCCACATTTCCCTGCAGGGGGACGTGGGCATATAAATAATTGAGATAGTATCCTATAGGCCATGACACTGACCCAGAGAAAACACAAAAGCAGCAGGGTTGACTCAATAAAACGATATCCGATCTTTATCTGGTAGGTAGGACAGGAAAATTCATTTGGGGGCAGAAGGAACAACCTAAATAAAGACATAAGAGAAGGAAGACTTGGCAAAGGTGGGGTCTGGTGCAGTTGGATCATAGGCTATGAACAGTTCAAAAGCAGAAGATGAAGTTGAAAAGACAGGGTTGGTATCAAAGTACAATAGGCCTTAAATGTAAGGTCAGCACCATTAGACTTGAACTCCTCCATCAGTGGTTCTCAAACTGTGCCCCTGGGTGAACCTGGGTGGCCTAGACCAAAAGTGAGGGTTATAAGGATGCACAGGGAGACCAAGTCCAGCCTCAAGGAGGATAGTTTTCTGATAATTCTCCAGGCCTCCTGGCTGGACTGCCCAGGGATTCAGAGGAGTCAGTATGATGGAAAAAATGACAACAGCTCAATGTCACCTAGAGGATTATTGTGTGCTTCTTAGCACAAGTAGGCCTGTGTCACTGTGAAAATAGGTGAGCAGGACTAGGCTTCGTGTTCATATGTGCATGTGCTCAGATGCAATTGTGGAACCAGACCTCTCCCACTGAGAGATCAACTTTCTCTCTAATAAGTAGACAGTTTTGAGCATATACTTTGAGCCGAGTTAGTCTAAGTGTTTTATTTGTGATATTGCATCTTTACAACACTCCCAACACTTCACAATAATTACTGAATGTTTTCTTGTACTAAGTGTTAATATCTTCTATGGCCTCAAGACAACCTTGAAACTACTAGTCTCACAATTTGATGGGTTTTTCTGTTTCTTTTCAGTGCTAGGGACCAAACCCAGAAACCCACACAAGCTAGGTGAAGGTTCTACTGCTGAGCTACATCCTCAGTACTGTTCCCTTCATTTTAACAATGAGGAAACAGTCAGAGAAGGCAGATGATTAACCCAAAATTAAACAGCTGGAAAATGGCCAAGCCAGACTCAAATCCAGATTACCCAAATCTAGTTTCCACACCCTTAATCTCTGTGCTTTGCTGCCCTCTTCCTCAGGGGAAAGCCTTTTTAGATGGCCAGCTTTGGGTCAATCATCCTAACCCTTCAAAGTCCTGGTTCTCTAACACCTGTTCCCTGGGTTTCCTAAAACATCATATTCTGGGGAGCCTATAAAAATGTATACTTTTGGGAACTGGAGAGATAGCTCACTGGTTAGAGCACTGACTGCTCTTACAGAGGACCCAGGTTAAATTCCCAGCATCCACATGGTGGCTAACAATCCTTGGTAACTCCAGTTCCAGGGATCCAGGGATCCAATGCCCTCTTCTGACCGCTGCAGGCATTGTGCCCCATGGGTGTATTTACACACAAGCAGGCAATACAGTCATATACATAAAATAAATTTAAAAAAAAAAAAAAAAAAAAAAGAATGTAAGCCGAGTGTGGTGGTGCACCCCTTTAATCCCAGCCCCTGGGAGGCAGAGGCAGGCGGATCTCTGTGAGCTCAAGGCCAGCCTGGTCTATATAGCCAGTTCCAGGCCAGCTGGGGCTATACAGAGACCCTGTCTCAAAAAGACGAGAAAACAAAACAAAAGAATGTATACTTTTGGACCATGGACCTCTCCCCATGATTCTAATTCGGCAAGTGGAACCTCACATGGTTTTCATACACCCAGGTTGGAGTCAAAGCAACAATTAGTAAAGGAGGTCCCAAGAGCAACTCCCTTGAGAGTCCTGGCAGGCCTTCCCCTCGAGAGCGCCTGTTTTCTTCGGACTGTAACAAAGCATAGTCGCTTGTACACTATTGTCCAACTGAATATTTAGTTATGCTTTTGTCCTCCCTCAACCAAAAACAAGACCCTGCATCTTCACTGGGCTAGACTTTTATACAAAGACTTTCCACTTTCCCACTCAATCTCTACGCTGAAAGCATTTTGAAAGATGCCCTCCTCCTTGCCGCTCTTCTATCTGAACACAACTGACGTTCTTTACAATGTGTTTTCCCGTCCACAGTAACATTCTTATATCGTTTCATCCAATCCTCACAACAATCTGAAATGAGGCATATTAGCTCCATCGCACCAGATCAGAGTTGCACTCGCCCAAGCTAGGAAAGAGCAGCGCTACTTTTCTAGTTCTCAGCCTCATACCTCTGCTTGGTGCAGGAAAGTAACCTTTAGGTCCCAGTCGTGCCAGGGTATTAGAGATTAAAGGAACTGACACTTGAAAGCGCCTGGCACTGTAAAGGCTCAAAAACGAGTGGGAAGGGGAAACTGAGGCCAAAGTGTAAATGGCTTCCCCCAAATCAAACGCCACACCACAAGTGTAGCCCCAGCTTTAGGACAGTCCTAGACTCTCCTCATTGCGAAGGCTGATTTGGCGGGCTCAGCTCCGCAAGTTCCGGGTCCCTGAATTTCCGGCCCAAGCCGTTTCTCTAGGCGCCACCACAAGGGCTGAGCGCAGGGAAGCGACCCCTTTAAGAGGATGGGGGTGTGGCCACGGGGGAGGGGCGCAGGCGCGCGGTCGCGGACGGATGACGTGACCCTCCGGGTTTTGCGTAGGCTGGAAGCAGCATGTGGGTCCGCGGTGTGCCGAGCGGGGCTCGAACCCGGGGGCCGCTGCAGCCCCGGCTGCTCGGATTTTGGCACTGCCGCGGCAGGGCCGCCTCCTTCTATTCCGCTTCCGCCGAGCCCTCCCCGGTCCGGGCGCTGGTCTATGGGAACCACGGCGATCCAGCCAAGGTCGTCCAGTAAGAACCGGCGCGGAAAGCGGGGAGGGAGCTGGGGGCTCCTGGAGGGTTTTAAGAGGGGCCACGGACTGCAGAGGGAGGGACGGGGTCCGAGGACGCGGGTTGCGCGGCGCCGATTCTGAAGCCCGGGGTGCGCTTCGTAGCTCCACGCCGGAGTTCGGTGCTTCGAGCCGGCTACAGACCTGAGAGGGACAGGTGCAGAGGAAAGGTTTAAATTTATTGATGGAGGATTGTGGCAGCCACTCCTCTGCCTAAGTGGATGCTTTCGTTTGTCACAGCAGTGTTGTGGAATTAGTTACTGGATTTATTCAGAAAACCGAGGCATACAGAAAAGATCTCTTACCAAAGTCACCTAGCCAGTGAGAATCGACTTTAAAGTTATACTTTACATCCGTTTGGATCTTCACTTCTGAGTTAAGTGGATACTAGATTTCTGTTTTCAGTTCACAGAGGTCGAGGGACTTGTCCGAAGTGGTAACAGCTAATAATTGATTGGAATCCAAAATTCGTGGCTTCTGGCTCCTTGAGTTCCTTTTCCACCACACCATGTATGCACCTTGGCCTAGTTTAAAAGAGTTGTTTGTTTTATAATCCCAGCACTCTGAGACTGAGAAAGATTGTGAGTTTGAGAACAGCTGGGGCTATGTAGTGTGCCCTTAACCCAAAACATACAGTAAAATAAATTTTAAAATTTTAAAATCACCCCTCCTCCAAATAACCAAAATGCAACTGGGGAGCTGTACATGATGGTATATACTTGGAGTCCCAGCACTCAGAAGGCTTAGGCAGGACAGTTGTGAATTTGAGGCCAGTCTGGACTCAAATTCACAATTGATGTTGAGACCTTGTCTCAGAATCAAAACATTAAACAGCAACAATAAAAACCAATAATTTGAGGGGCCCAGGCATTGAGCACTGGCTGCTCTTGCAGAGGACCCAGGTTTAATTCCCAACACCTACTTGGCAGCTAACAACTGTTCACAACTCCAGTTCCAGGGGAATCCGACACCCTCTTCTGACCTCCACCAGCATTAAATGACATAGGTGCACTTACGTACATGCAGGCAATACACTCACACACATAAAATAAAATTTTTTAAAAAAAACTAATTGGGGGTTTATTGATTGATGCATCTTCTTGATAGTTGCTTTCTTCCTTCCTGAGACCTCTCCCTATGTAGCCATGGCTAGTGAAGAACTTGCTATGTAGACCAGGGTGACCTCCAACTTACAGTGATCTTCCTACCTCTTCTTCCCATTCCCAAGTGCTGGGATTTCAGATATAAGTCAGTGTAACTGACTGTTAGAGTTTTTTTATGTGGTTGGTTTGTTTGGTTTTGACCCACAGCCTCCTGTAGCCCAGGCTGGCCTCAAGCTTCTGCCTCTACACACTCCAAAGTGCTGGGATTACAGCAGCTGTTCACCACAAAGACCAGCTTTTTTTTTTTTTTTTTTTTTTTTTTTTAAACCCCTTTTTCAGGGTCTCTTACTTGCCAAGGCTGGTCTGTGACTTGTGGCCCTATTGCCTCAGTATCTCAAGTAGTTGGGATTACAGTTTGAAATTTCTTTTAAATTGCTCTATAGGTGGATGTAGCTAGGTTAATGCATGACTTGAATTTACCTGAGGCTTCTCTCTGCCTGTCAAAACACCTACCCTGTGTTTAAACCATTACAATACTATGTTTGCTGTGAATCAAAGAGTTGTAAACAAGGCACCACAGGAGAGTATGCAGGTGCTTTTTGATGGAGAACATTAGCTCATTCTTAGCTGATTAGCCCTGTATGCCGTGTTTATGATGTTTCCAAAATATGATTTGACTTAGAGAACCTCAGTAAACTTGCCAAACATACAGTTAAGCCAAATTAAGGCAAGGATCTGATTCCAAGTGCTCGAATTCCCAGATCTGAGTTTTTACCTTAGCTCTACTCTGGGCAGTCCTCACAGCTTTGACTGGCAAGTTATACATAGGTTTATTAATTGATGATTTCATGCAGGAGTCATGAATCCAACAGAATGTTTAGAGAGGTTTAAGTGACTTGTCTAAAATCAAATAGCTTATAGATGGTCTTAGGACACTGTGTGTGTGTGTGTGTGTGTGTGTGTGTGTGTGTGTGTGTGTGTGTGTGTGTGTAGGTCAGAGGACAACTCTCAGGAGTCTTTTCCTTTGCCACCTTTTGGATCAGGTGATCAAATTCAGGTCATTGGGTCTATGCACTAGCACCTTTATTCACTGAATCATCTTGCAGGCCCCCAAATTGTATTTTGCTCATAGGTAATAAATCTTGTCAGGGAAGCTATTCCCCCTGAGGACTTTGCTGAGGTGAGCTGATGAAGCTCTCATGAACATGGCTCCATTTTCGGGAATGGGCCCACAATGAGAGTGGTGTAATGCTGCGTCCAAAGGCTTATAATCTGTATGTCTCATGCAGGACCTGCTACGAAATAGCTGCTCTTGTACCATAGCTAAATCCAAATCTCATGTCATTAAAAATTGTACCTTTTATTGAGTTCTACCAAGGTGATGAAGGCCTGGGCAGCTAAACAGCTGAGTGCAGTTGCCTCCTGATTGATTTCCTCCTCTTAGAATCCAGGGAAACTGGAACCCACCGGCCTTTCTACAGATGCCAGCCAGGAAAAAAACAAAAACAAACAAACAAAAAAACCATCTATTGTCTCCTGTGTAGAACCCTAGTCATTTCTCTGAGTTCAATGGTACTTTTAGAAACTTATTTCCAGGTCCCACCCCTGAAGTGCTTCACAGGTCTGGAGTGTCTTTAAAGCTCTGCAAGTCTCCCAAGTGAAGTGCCACTGCCTTGTGGATAGATGGCCAAGGCAGTAGGAACTGTCCCTCCTGACGGATCCAAGCCACTTCGTTTGCATATGGACTAAAGCCAGTGACTGGGATTCTCTTTGTAATCTTGTTTTAGGAGGTTTAGGGTAACCATACCACAGAAGGAATCAGGTGTTCTTTTCACATCCCAGTGACTGGGTGTCTCTGGATCTGGGAATAGGTTCACGGGGCTACCCAGATCCAAACCGTATTCCCCAGACAGGTATGCTTTGTGATGTCTGCACTGTGGGCCAGTGTTCTGGGGGCCAGGGAAGAGACTAAGGACCAGTAAGGCTTGAACTGCTGATCTGCCTGAAGTCACACTGCAGAATTACAACATTCAGAAAAGGTCAGAGGTCATCCTCATGTTTGTCCTGTGCAGAATTCTGGATTCTCTGTAACAGAACTCCTGGAAAATGATGTCCTCTTTTCCTTTTCCTTTTTCTTCCGGAAAGTCTTCTTAGAACTTTGCATTCTTGTGTTAATGTAGAAAGAACGCTCATTTACTGTACACCCACTAAGTCCAAGCATTGGGCTAAGTCCTCCACATATGTTATGGAATTTAAATATTACAATAGGGCTGGGGTTGTAGCTCGATGCAGAATCCTTGTCTAGCATGCAGAAAGCCCTGGGTTCAGTCCTAGACACTGCAATAATAGTAATAATCACAGTCCAGTTTGGTTCATTCTTTTCCCCGTTTTACAGATCAGGAAACTGAGGCTCAAAAAGATTGAATAACCCTTGCACAGAATGGTACAACTAGGATGCTTCTTAAAAATACTCCATAGAAGAAAATAATAGAGACCTAGGCTAGAAGAAGCAATGAGTCGTCTAGAAGGTTTTTTGAGAATGAGAGTGAGTGTAAAATTAGGAACAAGATAGGGTAGAAGAGGCGGCCATTCAGGTGGTCTGGAGTTTCTCTTCACTGTAAGAAGGGCAGCCCTGCCCTGGGATTATGGAACTGCTAGCCTCTATCCCTCTGCTTTTCAGGTCCTGAAGCTTTTATAAAGTGGCACCCAGCCCTAATGATGGTTCACACCTGTAATCCCAGCACTTGGGAAATGGAGGCACGGGATTAGGAGTTTGAAGCCACTCTTGCTTATATAGCAAGCTTGAGGCCAACCTGGGCTACATGAGATGCTGTCTCCAATACACACAGAAACATCCTAACAACCCAGCATGGTTACCTCCCCCAGCCCTTCACTCTAGGCTATGGAGTTATGGCATTCTCACGTGCCTGCTGTAGAAACAAGAGGATCCTAAATTGGAAAACCCTTGAATACAGGACCCTTTCTGATTTAAGCCAGATGGAATTTTGGGGAGCCCCAGGTTGTATATCAATAGTGATGTCTCATTAAAGGGTGTTGTTTGTTTTCAGGGGAATTCTTTTTACCAAAACTGGGCAGGTAACCTGCTTTAAAAAAAAAAAAAAAACTGAGTGTTTTGTTTAAAAAAAAAATGGCATTTTGCTTTGGTGATCTGTTGAGGGCTCTTTTTCGTGGATGGAGGAAATGGGCAGAGCAGTCATTGGCACGGGAAGTCAGCCAGCATTGATGCTCTAAGTGTCGGGCACTGAGGAGTCAGAAACAAATAATTTTTGTCTTTGCCTTCAGAAAACCCCCAGTGTAGCCCAGGAGACAGGCCATTGTAGCCCAGTGGGGTAAGTGCTATGATAAGTTCAGAGAGCAGTGGGATGGAGGGAGCCTAATCCATTCCTTGTCCCTGGAGAGTCAGAGAATGGCAAGAAGTCTGAGTCCCACTGGATAACATCTCAATAATGTGAGAGCCTGCAAATGCAAAAGCCCAGAAGGCCTCAGGACCTACCCCTGCCTTCAAGGGACCTCTGCTAAATTGACTCAGAGGGACAAAGCAAAGATCATGAGATTCACACTCCAGGGGATTCTACATCCTTTGAAACGTGTGGCCCTCCTCCTGCATTCCACTCTAGGCAGTAGGGTTCAAGGCCAGGTCCGTCGTCCCGTCCCGTCCCGTCCCCCCCCCCCCCCCCACCCCCCCCCCCCCGCACGCCAGTTGTCTCCTTGTAGCCTCCAGAGGTGAAAAGAGGCAGACAATACCTCTGAGGAATTGCAGGAAAGGCTAGGGGGGTTCCCTCACCCTGAGCCTCTAGGGGATGCTGTCACTCAGTACAGCTCCAGGTCATACCCCTGT